AGGGACGCCTGGGGCAGAGCTGGACTATCGGAAGGGGGGGCTATGAGGGGTCTGGGGTGGCATCCCCCCACCCCACCCCAGACCCCTGATAGCCCCCGATTCCGATAGTCTGGCATATCTGATAATCCGGCACCCCCTGAGTCCTAAAGGTGCCGGATTATCGATAGTTTACTGTATTTGAAAAGATACTAGTGTCTTTTGATGACAATTCAATATATTGGTTAATATGGGAGAGAAGTACTAGGATGAAAATTAATTAAAAAGTCATCTTTCTATTTGAGAGAAACTGCAGATCATAATTTGAAAGAAAAAGTAATGCCAACTGACCTTAATTCAGGTTAGTTCATAAATACACTTAAATCTAAGTTGAAATGTTCAGGATTCCTTCTACTTTAAATTTAATTCTGAAATAACTTTGTCCTTAATGCAATATATTTGAAAATACAGACTATTAGAATCTAGGTTCTTATTTAATTCTTAAATGTGAAGGTTGAATTATTTATATAAAAGGAGATCAATTTGTATAGCCTCAGTTAACTGACTTGGGATTGATGATTATTTCATTTAGTTGCTAAGTAAAAGAGTGGTTTTCAGGGAAGAGAAGGCCTGACCCCAATCTGATATTTTTAGGAAACCTTTATATGAATTATCAAAATTTCCTGGTGCTATATAAACATTACCTAATCATTTCTATACATTTCTACATTCCTATATGATTGGTAAATGGTGTTATCCCTATTTAATAGTTGGTGATACAGAGGTGGAGAGGCGAAGTAACTTGCCCAAATTCTCTCAGCAGCATATCTCAGATTATTACTGAGTTTCATTTTTGTACTCAATCCATGCTATCTCTCAGTGATCCAGAAAGTAGTGAAACTAATTAGAGAAAAAGCAATCCTGGAGTTACTATACTATTTACCGTATCACATTCATTAGTCCATTCATTTGTAAGTTAAGCCCCCAAGATGAATAAATAAAAATGACAAATTGCTATAACTCTTTCATAAACTGACCCTATATTTCAGCGGTTGGCAAACTTTAGTTCTTGGCTTGTCAGGCTGAGATGCTTGTGCATTGGGATGTTTTGTTTACTTGGAATGTCTGCAGACATGGAGCCCTGCAGCTCCCAGTGTCTGCCATTTGCCATTCCTGGCCAACAGGCGTGGACTCTGTGCCTGTAGACGCTCCAGGTACACACAGTGTCCTGACGTGTCTGTGGCCTACCCCAGTGGGTTGGGTAACTGAAGTTTGCCAACCCCTGAACTACAAGGACAATGTAGACTGATCGATAAGCAGACTCCCGATCATTGATGTGTCACTTCTTTACCAAAAAAAAATTGGCTTATGAATGAGTATATATGGTACTCATTTGGAGGAAGGGACTGAGAATATGCATGACAATTATAAGAAGCTTAAATTAATAATACAGAATACCAGTTTCAGAATTTATGAGCACAAATATATACATATTGAGAAACATAATGGAGAAGGAGGCAATATAGAATGGGAAAATACATTAAATCGACCAGTGTGGGAAAAAATTGGGTCACTTGAAGGAAATGGTAAATAATAATGGGTTTGAAAAATGGAAAGAATCAGAAACAGCTGATGTGTTTTCAAGAAAGTCTGTTCACTGATCTGAAATTGTGAAATAAATCTGTGGTAGTGGAGAAGAGGGAGGCATCCATAATTAGCTGCTCAGTAAAACATAGTCATGGAAGAAGAGGAAAGACCTAAATAACTTGAAGAAATGTAACCTTGGAGAGAAGATCCTAGGAACACTGGGAAATGTATCTGAATAAGATACACATATTGTAAAACTCTGTTATGGTATTAGGATTCGCGTGTACTTAGAAATATGGGTGAGTGACAGTTTTACTCAGCCTTTCAGATGGATGCTTTTTTAATGAGAGTGTTCAATTATGGACGATGCAAAATTTTCAGCCTGTGGAATATTTAGGTATGTGCTTGAAGGCAAAGTAGAATATATGATGATTTGCTGAGAGGCTCTGAGGATATCTCTCTGCTGATACTTGAGGCTGGTCCATGCCACCTGACTTGAGTTTGAAAGGTTTGGCCTCTAGGGCTATTTCATTGAAGTGTAGACTTCTGTGCTTGGGCTGGAGCCCAAGATCTGGAAAACCTGTCACTTTGCAGGGTCCTAGAGCTTGGGCATCTGCCCTAGCCTGCAAGTCTATAGTTCAATAAAATAGTCTTGCAGTCTGAGTCTGCTGGAAAAGGCCAGCCATGGATTTTTTTTATTGAAATGACATAACTTAAGAGGAAAAATCACCTCTGAGTGTGAAAGATTTTATCTCCTGTCTCGAAGCATGGGGAACCCTGAGGGGTACTTCGCATCTGTCCCATTCACCAACTTCTTTCTGAGAAGTTCTGGTTAAGGAAGGCTAGCATCCATACCACATCAAGAATCCATTATCCAGATTAATTACTTTTCCAGTAATTAATTCTGTTGAAGTATCTATTTAGTTTAAAATTTTCAACAAGCCGCCTTGTTCCTTGTAGCTTTCTTACTTTACAATGACTGGAAAGAGTTATGTGAATGAATGCCCTGTGGTGTTCTATAGCTAAATGTTTAGACGATCTTTTACTTAGTGATAAAGTGGGGTTTTGAAGACAATCCCATATTAGCCTTTGGCTGAAATGATGGTGACAATGTTGGTCTTGGAGGCTAAAAGTGAGAGTAAAACTGGGAAGATGCTTAGCTCTTCAACAGATTCATGGATAGATAATCCATCCACTCAGAGAAGAATAAATACTAGTGTGCTATTTTAACAGGCTGTTAGTTCTATAGAGCAAATATGTAATTAATAGACTATGAAAAGAATTATCTTGTTTGTCAGCATCTTTCTGTATTTAATAATGTACGAGTAAAATTATTTTTTGAAAGGAAGGCTTTCAGCTTATTCTTTCTATGTACAGCACTGCTATATATTTTGAATATATACAGTCTATATATTTCATCAATATTTCTTGGGGGTGTTTCGTCTTTATTTTTCATTTTGCTCAATACTGTGGTTTTAGCTTATATTGGGCTGTTTGCTCAGTGATAGAAGATGGATTGCCATGTTAATGTCTCCATGATGCAAAAGTGGAGGGAAGAATAAAAAGATGTTACTCAGTTTTTTGAGACAATGATTTATCATTGAATAGAGGTATTCTAGGATTTAGTGTATACTGTCTTTTATATTGCAGACATTATAAGAAGCGTTGTCAAGGTCGGATGCGGAAACATGTCGGTGATCTCTGTCTTCAAGCTGGGATGTTACAAGATTCCTTAGTACATTATCATATGGCTGTGGAACTTCTGCGGTCTGTAAACGACTTTTTGTGGCTTGGAGGTAGGATTAATTGATTCTGATAAAAATATGCTTTAATATTCTGGTACAAAGCTTACAATATGAAAAGGAAATAGTGCACTTAAAAAATCCCAATAAAATGTGATTTAAAAATCAAGCCAAAATAACTAGTGACTAAGAATGTAAGGAAAATGCTTTTTTTTAAAAAAAAAAAATAGAAAATGAGTTTAGCATATTTGCAGTATAAAAAATGTTATTCTGTAGGAGAACTTCTTCATGAATGATTTGCTTCTGGTTTTTAAAAAGGTGATCTTAGTCCTCAGGTGTCTAGGTGTGAGGAAAATATTTCAAATGTTGCCTATATGAAGCATAGTAAAAATGGGATGAAAAAAATGTATTTCCCTGTTAGGGATGTAAGCAACTAATTGACTAGTTCCTTGGATAGTTGCTTCCCTCACACCCTTGCTGCCTCTAGGGAATCAGCTGGCCTTGCTTGTGCTAAATTCCCTCCTGCCCCCACGCCCCTCTATGCACCAGCTTTTTAAATGTATTAAGAACCTATATATTTAAAAACCAGAAGCTCAGCAAGGGGGACCCAGTGTGAGCTTGCAGTCAGCTATCCTGGCTCATGCAGTCTTCCCCCTGCTGCGCTTCAGCTTTTTAGATGTATTAAGAGCCTGCTTAATGGAAAATCCATTGACTAGTCAATTAATTGATTAAACTATATTTAACATCCTTAGTTATTGTGGCTTCCAAACTCACATATATTTAACTTACTTCCTTTCACCTCATGAGAATCAGTTTGTCGCCTGGTTTCCCTTCTTTTGTTGTGCTGCTGTTGGATTTCTCCTAAGTGCATAAGTGGTTTTTAGACTCTTACCTGCTGATTCTTGTTCCTCCAAAGAATCATAGAAGTGTAGGGACCTCAATCTAATCCAATCCCTACTGTCAAGGCAGGGCTATACAATAATTAGATGATTCCTGACATGTATTTTTCTAAACTGTTTTTAAAAACTTCCAGTGATGGAGAGTCCACAACCTCCCTAGACAATTTATTTCAGTGTTTAGGAAAAACTTCCTGTCAGGGTAGTTTAATGTCCAGCCTCAACCTCCCTTGCTGTAGTTTAAGTCCGCTGCTTTTTGTCCTATTTTCAAATGTTAACAAGAACAATTTTTTGCTCCCTCCTCCTTACAACAAACTTGAAAACTTATGTACCCTCACCCCCGGTTTTCGTAAGTCTAAATAAGCCAATTTTTTCAATTTTCTCTCATCGGACATGCTCATACTGCCACCATACCTACACTCTGTTTTAGTGCACTAGCTTGATTTGAGCTCTCATAATGAGGTATATCACTTTGAGCTGGAATTTGCACCTCAAAACGTAAGTATACTCTTGCAGACTTTTCTTGATATTTTTCTTCATGACTCCCCTTTCAAAAGATTTAATAGCTTCAGCCGCTCTTCTTCTCGTCTTTTTCCTTTTCCTCTTGAGAGAGGAGCAATGGTGCTTAGAATGCTCCTGTTCCAGCAAGGGGGTGAGCCGCACAAAATGTTTACTTTTGAAGGATGCAGTGGTATACCTGCAGCCAGGGCCGGCTTTAGGAAGTGCGGGGCCCAATTCCAATCAAATTTTGGTTGAGCGCAAAAAAAACCCAAAACAAAACCAACCCAGCACACAAAGAAACAACTCACAGCCCCTTTAAATCTCCAGCTACAGGGCAGAGTCCCGCCTTCCAGCCAAACCCACAGGCCGACTCCCCCTCCTGCGGCGCACAGAAGCCGCCGCACTCCTCCTGCGGGGCCGACGCCCCCTTCCGCAGCACGCCCGGCATCCCAGCGCACCCGACACAGTCCCAGCTTTATGGCGCGGTGCCCTCTGTCTTTAGGGCGCGGGGCCCTTTTAGGCGCGGGGCCCTATTCAGGGGAATTGGCCTAAAGCCAGCCCTGCTTGCAGCTATACACGTTACACTTAGTGTGTACCATTGATGGTGGCAAGGAAGAGCAGTGCTGGCCTCTACGCTGATCAGGTAGGTTTAATTCTATGGCCTCTCCTTTATGACAGAGGTTGCTGAAAGAATCATGATGGAAAGATCTGTGGGGCCAAAATAGAATGAGTTGCATTGTGGTTCCTGTGCATTGAGTTTCAGCACTACTCAGGTTTGACTCCATGATCCTTGAACACACTGAGCAGTGAGATTGACAATCCTGATCCTTCTTGCCACTGCTTTGGGCTGACTTCTGTATCAAGTCTTCCCTGCCTTGCCTTTTCAAGCAGCCCATGTTCCTTTTCAGGGATTGTGAATGAAAGAGCATCTGGGCAAGACAGAGGGGCTGAGTATCGTGTGAATTTGTTGGGTGCAGCAGGGATGGGTTTATGGGGATTGATTGATGATGCATTCAGTGGAAAAAATGTCCATGCATGCCCAACACAGAGTGAGGTTTTTGAGGCAGTTATAGAATTATAAACTATAATACTTCATAAAATGTAATGAATGGTTTTGTTTAATGATTCTTTATCTTTAATCTCCAGCTGCTCTTGAAGGTTTATGCTCAGCATCCGTTATCTATCATTACCCTGGTGGCACAGGAGGTAAAGTGGGGGCGCGTAGGTCACAAGGTAGTTCTCTTCCCCCTGAAGCAGGAAACAGACACAGACCAGGTAAGTCCTAAAGAGAGCTTCTGTTCTGATTTTTTTTCCCCCAGATGTTTTATAATGGCAACCTATAAACTATAGTTCTTTCCCCTACGTAATAACATTTTCATACAAGAGTAAAAATGGTATTAAATAGAGCTTTTTCTTAAGACTGACTTTTATTATAAAAATTCTATAGTTTTGTATTGATATTAAGAAATACGTGAAAAAGAATTGGTCAGTTTTTTTCTGGTTGTTAAGATCAAGATTCTACTTAAGATTTGGCTAAAATAATTTGGGGGTAGGAGTGGAAAGGAGAGGTAATTATCCAAAAAGATATAAATGGTGTGAGGGAAATATCCTTATCAAACACCTATGTTCAATATGCAAGGCTTTCACTGTTCCTTATTTAAGGACTTGTTGAGAAAACCTTACCACTGTTTAAAACTTTGCATATATACTCTAAAAATGTCTGCTACTTTTATGAGTTATATTAGAATATTGAATTGTAGTCCATATCAATCTTAAACAAATCATATTTAGTACGTCTCATTAAAATAACTGACAACTTGCCATTGTTGAACTATAGTATGCGTTTAGTAAACACTGTTATTGTATAGATTTTATTAAATGGGTTACGCACTCTTCTGCGGAGAGAGTGCTTGATGACAATTTAGAGTTTAAAAAAGCCTCCTCACTCCCTTGTTTAACAGCTGATCATAAGTTGCTTTTAAAATTGTGATCAGAACTAATAAATGTTTGTCCAGCTAGTTCCATAACCTGTTAAGATGAATCTTACAAATTGGACAAAATGGTATAATCTCATTTGCTAAGCACCCAGTTGTGGAGCACACTGCTTCTCAGTACAGTTTTATAGCCAATATTGCATGAAGTCTCATTACTGAAACCGATTTTTTAAAAAGTATATTACTGTAATTAAGTGATAGTTGTCAGAATAACTAAACAAAGCACATGTTTAATGTATTACTTTCTTCATTTGTTTTGTGATTTAATAAATTGCAGTGCCTTGTATATTTAATAGACTGTTAAATACAAAACTTAAATTTCTTAACTTTTCAGTAATGCTCTCTGCATCAAGTAAAGAACATTATTCATAGAAACAATTAGCATTTTAATTCAGTCTGTTATCTTTTAAGACTGGGAATTTCTGAAAAGGGTGTAGTAATCTAGAGCTGTTATTTTACAGTACACAAGATACCATTAACTAGCTCCAGTTATTGTCACTGCCCTTTTTGGGTCTAAATAAATATATCATTGTGGCAGAAGATTATTTATATTCAAGAACTTAAAAGTAGAGTGTTTCATGGAGGCTTGTTAGCAAAAAAAGTGGTGGTTAGTAATAACAATCTGCTGTAATTTGACTTGAAAATATCAATAAAAATCCAAAACAAATGAATTTTGGTTTGGGCTCAGAGCTATCATAACTTTTTCTGAATATATAATTTTTTAAAAAGGACATTTAATATAGATAATTGTACAGGGTAAGGTAAATATGTTGTAACCAAATAATTTATATCATGTGACCTCATTCAAGTTGATAGACCATTGTTTTAAACAGCAATGTCTGTGCTGTATTTTAATACTTTTCCTGTAATTCTGCTCGTGCCTGATGGTAGTTGTAAAATATATTGCAATAAATTACTTTGTTGGCTTTATTTTTAAGTCTGAATTTTTCCCGCCTTCTCCTAGGGGCACAAGAAGTCCTCATTGATCCAGGTACTCTGTCTTTATGCTTGTTTTCTGACAAGCTTTTTGTGGCATTTTTATTACTTGTTTTGCCTCCATATGGATGATTGTTTCATTGATTATTTCAGGGATGATCTAGACCAGTGGTCCCCAACCTTTCGTGGCTGCCAGGCACCTGGGGGCGGGGCCACGCATGTGCTGCGTGCCCGGGGGCGGGGCCACCTACGCACCCTGTGCTTGGGACCAGCACCGCGCATGTGCTGCGCGCCCGGGGCAGGGGCCGCCCACATGCCCTGCACCTGGGGCCAGCATCGCCCATGTACCGCACACCTGGGGCAGGGGCTACCCACATGCCCGGGGCCGGCACCACACATGTGCCACGCGCTAGGGGCGGGGCCAGCCCAGATGTTTTGGCAGGCGTCATGGTGCCCGCAGGCACCACGTTGGGGACCATTGATCTAGACAGTGTTTGGTCCTGTCATGAGGGCAGGGGACTGGACTTGATGACCTCTTGAGGTCCCTTTCAGTTCTAGGATTCTGTGATTCCAGCTAAATGTTCAAATTTGGTTCTGACTTAGTATCAGTTTGATAACAGCGGGACCTGATTTACTTCTATTTAGTTTTGTGGGCGTTACACACTTCTGAAAACCAGGTCCAAGATGTCTCAAGTCTGTTATTCAAAACTTGGTAGGCATTCCTACCCAACCCACTTCAGTGGGATTTATTTCTGTTTAGTAATATGCATAGAAGAACAAAACAGTAGGTGTTCAAGAGTGAGTGTGTAGGCAGTTGAGTTCAAAATAGGCCAGTTAGGTGCTTTGTAGCAGGAATTGAGCACTTCGCAAAAAGATGTATTTAATTATAATTTCATAATTTTCTATGCCCTCAGTTAATGTATGAAACACCCAACCAATGTATTTCGGTTTTTCATATGCAGATTAGTTTATTCTGGGATCAATTGTTTTAAAACGAAGAGATCCAAAATAAGGTAGAAAAAATGCTGTTTTTATACAGAAATGACAGTAGAAATGTTCCTTTGTTTTAAAACTAGTACAGATTATAAAGACTGCTTGTTACTTAAAAACAAACACATGCCAAATGGGTCTCCTTAAATTGAAGTGACCATTTAAAATAGTTTGTCACTGTTTAAAGTTTTATATTTAAGTCAAGATCACACTTCCTTAATTTCATGACAGCTGTTTGTGGCCTAATTGCTTAGAATTAAATGAAAAATTGTCCAGTTGTTTTCATATGATCAGTATCTTATTTGTTCCTGTGTATTAGTACTACTCTGTAAATGTCTACACAGTGTTGACTCTTTGGTTTAGCTGGGATTCTTCAATAGCTTTTATTAAATAAGCTTTCTCACAAAGGAAATTGATGTAACAATGTAAGATTCCCCACTTTCTCCTCCAATTCTGCTACCCTGACAGTGACTTGAAAAAAGCAAGCAGTAGATTTCAGTTCTGTTACTCATGGGCAATGGGGGTTTCCAGTTAATTAAATGTGCTGGTTAACAAAGTTTATTGCTCTTCCCCCAACTCCTACCGGGAGATCCAACTCCAGGCAACTCGAGGCAGGCTGAGGTGGAAGGAGGTGCCTGCTGATAAGAGCCGCAGTGCTGGTTGTTAGAAGCCCCGCAACAGTTGGTTGATGAGGCAGGAGTTAGGCGTACATGTGTGACCGTCCAGAACTATTGTGGTGGGGGGGGGGGGGGGCGGCTAATGCTGATTAACAAAGTTTTCCATTTAATAGCATGCTGGATAACATAGCTTTCATGATATATAGAATCATAGATAAATAGGTACTTTGATAAGTCATCTAGACCAGTCCCCTGGACTGAGGCAGGACTGAATATTATCTTCCAAACTATCCTTGTCAGGTGTTTGTCTAATCTCTTCTTAAAAACCTTCAGTGATGGAGATACCACAGGTAATTTGTTCCTTTGTTTAACTACCCTATAGTTAAGTTTTTCTACTGTTTACCCTAAATCTCCCTTGGTGCAATTTACTACTTCTGTTCTCAGTGAGTAAGGATAACCGTTTATCACCTTTTTCTTTATAACATTTTGTATACTTGAAGGTTTTCATGTCCTTTCCTCAGTCTTCTCTTTTCTAGACCAACCAAAATAATTTTTTCCAGTCTTTCCCTCATAGATCATGTTAATGATCTTTGCTCTCCTTTGGACTCCTCATTCCACAAGGAGTAACGATAGTTCGAATTAGGATCTTTAATTCGAATTATCTAGTCCGTGCCGCACGTAGCTGTGGGCACGGAGTTCGGATTAAGGGGGATTTAAAAATGGCGCGCCCGGGAACATGCAAATGAAGCCCGGGATATTTAAATCCCGGGCTTCATTTGCAACTCCGCTTGCCCTCATTACCCTACCTAGCTCGAACTAACAAGCTAGTGTAGCCGTACCCTTAGAGACTAAGAAATATACTGGGTCATGAAAGCTCATGACCTAATACGTTTATTAGTCTCTAAGATGCCGCAAGATTACTTGTTTTTAAAGTTACAGACGAACACAGCCATGTCTGTGGCACTTTTCTTTCACCGAGTGGATTTTTCAAGCCCAATCTATATCAAAACAGTTCTCCTATGATACACACCCCTTCAGTATAATTTTCTACAATATTTTGCTATTTCATTGATGGAATAAGTTGGAGTATAGGCCTGTGAATGTTGGTATAATCAAAACACATCATACTGTAAAAACTTGATGTGCAATATTAACTAATTCATCAGTTATCACTCTATTCATACCTTTTATCTAAAGATACATCTACACTGTGGCGCCATTTTGGGATACTTCTGGTATCTCAAAATAGCTATTCTGCATTTTGACCGCACATCCATTATTTTGAAATATCTTTTGAAATAACTGGCGCTCTATTCCAACGTCCTTGTAAACCTAGTTCTACAAGGATTAAGGGGCATTTTGGAATAGCGGTTTAATTCAAAATTTGGCGCTGTGTAGACAACGCCAAGGTATGAAATAAGCTATTTCAAAATACACTCAAAATAAGCTATGTAATTTACGTAGCTCAAATTGCATAGCTTATTTTGAGCTAAGGGTGCAGATGCACCCCAAGACTGTCCACTGGTTACTAATGGGGAACACAAAGTAAGTATTAGTCCTATCATTAGGAGAGATGCCAGAGAGTTGGAGGGAGTGGTTGCAAGATGTGCTTGGTTAGGGAATCCTAGATGTGAAGTTGCTTCCTGTGTGTTGGCTTTGAGGATGTTTTGCAAGGCTTATTGGTTTACCTGACCTCAGAAAACCACAGGAATTTGGAGAAATTAATTTTAAAGGATTTGGGAGTGTTGTGATAGTGAATTTGGCTGAATTTATGAAATTTGTGTAAAATTGTTCATCTTCTCAAAGCTAAATTTTGTAATTTAGATTGGGCTGTGCTTTAACTCTTGAAGTAATCCATTTTTTTTAAACAAAGTCTGAGTATCTGGAGACCATAAATTCATATATTTAATGTTCTTTCATAGCCAGATATCTGTATCTTGTTTGACTTTTTCATGAGTGAATTAATTTTTAGTTCATTTTTAGCAAGGCCTAATATTATACAGTCATTTTCACTCAGCCGGGACATGGTTTCTTTCTTTCTTCATTATGTACACTTCATTTAATCTTATTTTGTATTCTAGCTTATTAGATATATTTATTAACTAGAAGCGTTCTGTTCATTCCTTACTTTGTTCCACTGTAGGTGCCCTCACTTCAAATGGTATAAATGCAGATACCAGTGCTGAAATAGGACGTGCCAAAAACTGCCTTGGCCCTGAAGACATCATAGATAAATATAAAGAGGCCATTTCTTACTACAGCAAGGTAATGTAAAGCGCATTATGGAAAATGTCTATATGTGTATAAATTCCAGTGTACTGTCAATGCATTTTTGTCGGTGTTAAAATCACCTGCATTACAGTAAACATAAATGTTGTCACTTTCTTTTCATTTGTGTAATGATCTAATTATGGTGAAAGAAACACGAGTAACTTATAACAGTACAGCACACAGAGCCTGCTCTCTGACAGGGGATCTGGCCATTTCTGAATGCTGGTTAAGCCTTTACACTACAAGGAACCTATCTCAAAGTATGGTGTTCTGTTGAATTGTACCATGTACTGTACCATTTGTGCCTTCGGTCTGTAATCTCTGGAAATTAATATATATTTTTAGATAGGAGTTTTAATGTATTGTTTTTATAAATGCCAGTTATAGAAGGAAAGTTCTTTGTTAATTAGTGATGGGCACAGTTATACTTTTGAATATCCATGCATATAGTTCTATCGTTTTTGTCTAAATTCCCATTTATATCAGAGTCACTGAGTATCCTCATCTGTACTATAGATAAATTTCATCATAGTACATAACAGTGGCTAACTAGATTGTAAAATTTGTTCAGTTCCGTCATCCCCTCCCTTAAATGTCAAGGTATTTATTTTTCAATGTTCTAAAACTGAGTTTTAACAAATGGGTTTTAATGTCATATTTGCAATGAAAGAAGAATATCCAAATGAAGAAAATTGTTATATACAGGTAGTGAAAATTGCACTGACCAGTAATTAAATTTGTTCTTGTTGGGGAGGGAGGGAATCAGATGAAAATGACTATTTAGTAATTCTTTTAAGGCTGAATTCTACTCGTTATAAGAACTTAACACAACTGTGAGGTATCTGTCAAGAAGGAAGGTATGTTATTAAAAGTAGTGGTTAAAGAGTCATTGGACTTAAAATTTAAAATCCGACCCTCCTACTTCCAATGTAACATCTATTATCCACATGTCACAAAGTAAGGCAAGTAATATGTCTGAAAGGACTCCTCTGTGACTGATTAAGGTTTAAAATGTTCAAGGCAGACTTTCCTCTGCAACCTAATTCTCACTTTCAATTATCTGTAGGCAGAATGGTTTACAGTTCTGTTGCAGACAGCAACACCTGCTATGTCATTTTGAGTATCCTCTCTGTAATTCTAGGAAGTTCTTTATAGCATCCTCCCTCTGATTCCATGCTTTGATTCTTGTGGTCTTTCCTCTCTGTTTATCCTGCCCTCAGCAGATGTCTGTTGAGAGTGGGTCTGAGGCTCTTACACCTTCATTCTGAGTAATATTTTCCCCTTACAAAATCCTATTCCTATCTCCTTTCTAATAATAATAGTTGAACTTACTGCTCAGTCTCCAGTTGACAGAATATGCAAGCTGTATCTTTTATAGCGGTTGACTGTGTTATTTGGTAGAATCAGAATTGGCGGAGTGCTTGTCTGGCCCAGAGAAAATTTCTAAACAGGTCAACTCTCTGTGTGCATGCACCCCCTCGCCGTTAATTTTGTTAGTTTGAGAATATAAAGCATGATTTTTTTGGGACATATTCTGATCAGTACTTAAAAAATGAAAATATATAGGTTGGAAATTCACTCAACTATTTTATCTTGTGTTAATTTTGATGATCAAAGAACTGATTTTTTTCATCCTCTATCATTATTATTTAAATAATTTCAGATGGTTTCTAATGAAGTATTTTGAAGAGACACAATATAAACTCTTGGTACAGTGTTTTAAGATGCCATGGTTTTAAAAAGTTTTAAACATCAGTTGTATATATTGACATGTTTTGGTTGTGTCAGTTATTCTGTAGACAAATATAATCTGCAATATTGTGAAAATATTCTAAACGTCTCCCTCCTCTTATGAGTTCTGAAATTAAAGTTTTGCTTTCAGGCTCAAATTTAATAAATAAGATGAATGAAGGAGGTGAAGATATTTAGTTGTGCTTCATAGCTTTCTAATGGATGATCAACCATTTATTTTTGCTCTTGTTGTTCATTAGCTTGCATCATAGGTTGTAAATCAAACACTGTAATCATTAGTGTTCAGATTTAATTTGTATGGATTTTGGTGAAGTGAAAAGAATAAAATGAGTGAGTTGCATGCGCAGAAATATTTTTCAAGCCTGAGGAAGAGAGGCATGCTTGTATATTAAGGCACTTGAGTTATTTTTGTTTCTTCTTTTCAAGTACAAAAATGCTGGTGTGATTGAGTTGGAAGCCTGTGTGAAGGCAGTGAGAGTCCTAGCAATACAGAAAAGAAGCATGGAAGCTTCTGAGTTTCTTCAGAATGCAGTTTATATCAACCTTCGTCAGGTAAGTATATATGCAGATTTCTTTTTTTAAACTGAGAATGAAAAAAATTAAGGGGTGAAAAGTCCTTGAATTTTGGGTACCTTGTTTAATTATTTTTTCTTGAAACTAATGCTCTTTAGCACCTTGCATCCCATGATCTCAAAGCTTGTTAGAAACACTAACAATTCCATCTAAAATGAGGAAGCTTTGTGTATGAGATTGAAGACTTTATTGGTGATGCTCTTCAGGTGAAGAAAAAAAGTTTCTTAGGAGCACCTTGCTGTGAGAGATCTTATTGGAAGGCTATGCTAGATAAAATTGGCCACATTATCAGTGATATCATACCTGTAACTCTTTAGCTGAGTCTGTGATCTATAAGGTATGAAAATTATACAATATAGTATATTTTATTTTTATTTTTTACAAAAATCAGTCCACTGAGAACAAGACTCAGAGCCCAGCATAAAAATATATCACATGACATGAATAAGTGTGTCATGGTCTAGATGGTACTGGGTCCTGCGGTGAGGGCAGGGGACTGGACTTGACCTCTTGAGGTCCCTTTCAGTTCTAGTGTTCTGTGAGTGTTAATTGGACGATTTATCAGCTCAGACTACGTGATCCTTGGAAGAAAAATTGTTCTAGGAAGATGTCCTTGAATTTGTGGAATGATTCCTACCTGCAGTTAGGTGTAGAAAACACATCTTTAACAGGCTGATAAAATGGCAGTGGTCACACCACTCAGCTGTCACTTGTGGAAGGGATGTATAGTCCTTCCTTGTGGGACCTCTGAGAAGGTGAAGATCTGTTACTGTACAGACAGTTTGAGGCAGATGCCAATTTACTGTTAGAATGCGCTACATTGAGCAGAATGCGCTACATTGAGTCCTCTAGCTTGGTAGTTGACTGAATGGAAAAAGTTCTTCTGAAGAATGATTCTTGGATTGTGTGTTCTGAGGACAAAAGAGTGTCTGTCCCTGTGTTTAGAAAATGTATAACAAAGATCTAAATGTATGTGGTGGAGAAGAAGTTTCTATTCATGCAGGACTCTTCAGTTTGGCTAGGAAAGCTTTTGTAAAAATATTCAGTGACTGAAAGTTGAAAGGTGGTATTTGGAATAAAATAAGGTAATTAAGGATAATTAAGTATTAGAACAACTTATCATGGCAAGAAGTGCAATCTTTATCACTTGAAGTCTTTTATATAAAGATGGCTGTTTTAGTAAAAGAGATGGCATAGGTCAATGAGAGGTTGTGGCTTGATGCAGAAATCCCTAAGTGAATTTCTTCAGTTTGCATTACAAAGGAGGCTAAACTAGATAATTTCTTCTGGCCTTTCAAATCTGTGAAAAATAGATTTAATTAATAGATATCAGTGTAATCTCCCTGTGTGTGTGTGTGTGTGTGTGTGTGTGTGTGTGTGTGTGTGTGATATATATATGTATGTATTTATGTATATATAATAAAATGTTTGTTCGTCTTCTCATGCTCTAATCCACCTCAGTCCTGAGTGGCTTTGGAATGGATTCTTTGTAGACATTCTCTCCCTGTCCCAAGGAGTCTGTAATACCCTTCTTCTAATGTATGGGAGCCTTTTCCCGCAAGGCCTCTTCCTTTGTTTTTCTAAATGCCAAGAAATTGAAAACAGACAAGTTGTTCATAATGTACATACATTTATACCACCTGCTACAGTAGGAGGTCAGAACATAATAGTTTTTCAGCATATTTAAGTTGATGGGATAAGCATATGAAATCATAACTATAGTGATGTAAGCTAAGATAATATAAATAATGTCAAGCATCAGTAAGTTAATTGTCTCCAGTGCCAAAAGTAAGGCCTCCCAATTGTCTTCATATGTTGCACAGCTGTCTAGATGCATTCTATCAGAGGAAGGCAAAAGAATTTGCCAGACAGTATCTGGTTGAATGGGGTACATGGTTCTGACCTGGGAGTCTATTCTTGTGTTTATAGAAATCTGTAAGATAGATGAAATATTATAGAAGGTTAGAGTCTTGTTTCTAAAACTGTCCTAACACTAATCTTGAAATTTTGCTGTTGTCAAAATAAAAAAATGAGGTTGACATTTACTTAGTTGAGTAAGTTCTAGTATTTTGTCAGTGTGAGAGAATTTAAATGTTAGAGTAAGTATAAATGTCTTCCATGGAATGCTATGGAACACATCTGTTTTAAGAAAAATCTTGAAAATACATGAAACAGGTGACTTTTTTTGGTGCTGTGAGAAATCTTTTCACTATGTGGTAAAAAGTCTGAGGGGTAGCTGTGTTAGTCTTTGCAAAAACAATGAGGAGTCTTGTGCTACCTTAGGCTATGTCTAGACTACGCAGAATTTTCGAAAGAGGATATTCAAATTCTGCAGGAGCGTTTATAGAAGAAGTTGCTTGTGTTAATGAAGCTAATTTAGTAAGTGTGGAAGTGGGTTTTGTCTAGTAAATACTTCATTACGTAACTTGTTAAAAGTGGAGTCTTTTGAGGTTGTGGAGAGGAAAGTAAGATGATATGAAAATTGAGACACTATCTTAGGATAAACATCAAACATAATTGTATGTTAAGGTATATTATGGGATGAAGAATTAAAAGAACACACACCACTGGATGCATGGAGACATAGAGCCCTGTATTTCTGGACAGAAGCTCTACCCAGACGGCTTGTTTGGAACTTTTCAGGGGGTTGAAAGGATATTTGAATTTGAAGAACTAGCACTTGGTTTTTGGGGGGGGAGAGAGAAGATTTCTTGGTTGGCTCCTTTGAGGAGAGGAAGCACTGCTGGACTCCATACATTTAGACTGTCTAAATTAGTGTAAAAAGTCATAAGACTACTAAATTTTGTTGTTTGTTTGTGTTAGGTTTATGTGGGTTAAATAAAAGTCTGACGAAACATTAGCACTAGAGACTCTGAAACTGAATAAGGTCTGTGTCTAGGAAGGACCAGGTAGTGACAGATGTTTCTCTTGAACACCTATACTTTTTGCCTTTACATATTCTCAATCCTAGAGTCACTAGTGCCTTTTTTGACTGATGTTGCTTTCCTGCCTTTTAAGTTATCAAATATCCATTTTTGTATCATAGTTATTAGTTAATTGAAATCTTCTGTTATGGGTTGTTTACCCAAGATCTATTTTATGCACTAGGTGTCAGCAGTGATACATTACAAGAACTTGTTGTTACTTTTTACTGGGATATTACAGAAATGAAATATTGTCTAATAGTCTGTGTCCTTTTCCAACACAAGGCACTTCTCTTTATTTAACTTCATTGTATACTTTACTATTAAACAAAAGAGAAATAGTGATTGAACAGTGTACAGTGTGCAGCAGCTGTGTAAACTAGAGAAAGCTGGCAGGTTTTGATCAAGTTAGTTCTTTTGTAGAATTTTATGTCCTTCAAGAGTACGCTTTTCACTTACTGCTTTCTGACCGCATTGGGGTGTATGCTTTTGCTCAGAAGCATAACGATTAATGTTTAAGTTGTACTTAGAAATTTATAAAATCAAGGAAGTATTAAGCTCAGATGACACTCCTCCTTTTTTCTGAATTTGTTAACCTATTGAAAAAGATTTGTAAATTTACAAGATGGTATATCTGAGTAACTATAGGAATTGTGTATTCTTGACACTAGCGTTCCACGTGTATGAATGTCATTAGGACTGTTTTTTTTGTTTCGTTTTATTTTTTAGAATTAATTTTTAGCAATTTGAGATTTATATGGATAGGTAAATATAGGGGGTTCTTGAGGCTTTCTCCTTGTACTGTGAGCAAGTTATATTATTCATTACAGTAGTGTATATATTGTACGCCAGTAGAATCTACGTGGAAAAATTAATGTGCAACACATTGGTGCTCTTTAGAAATGACACTCCCATAATTCACATTATCATTCTGTGTAAACAAGCCCTTTTCAAGTAACCATTTCTGATACTTTTGTGGCATTTATTAGATAATCACTGGTTTCATTTCTTGTAACGGGATGTTACTGACATATCAGTTGAAAACCTAAAATTAGAAGATATAAATATAAATGAAGTGCTAACAATGACTTAGAGAAGGCTTGAGGAGTTGACTAATAGAATGGTTGCAGTAGTAATGATAAATGTCACCTTTGTGGGCAGTTCCCCCCCCCCAAAAAAAAAATCTAGAGAGAGATGATTTTAGTTGGTTAGAAAGTTGCTTTGGACAGCAATGCTACTTTTCAAAAGAATATTGATCCAACGTATAGTTGAATTCAAGTCAGTCCTTTGTATGAAAATATAGTAGAACAGTATTACTACAGGGTGAACCTTTCTAGTCCAGCACCCTCAGGACCTGACTAGTGCTGAACCAGAAAATTTGCTGAACTATGAGAGGTCAGTATTATCTAGCAGCGTTACTAACACTTCCATTGCTTATTGGGCTCTTACAGGACATTTAGGGTATTAAATTAGAACTAAATAATGGCACAGAACACTGAGCCATGAGTGATGGCTGTAAACAAACTTTATGGGACTATGGGAAACTTGGCCACACCCGCGAAAAGTGGTCATTCAGCTAACTAAATTTATCATGGATTTTGGTGGACCAGAGAGTTGCTGGACTAGAGAGGTTCAACCTGCATTGGTTTAAAGCCAGTAACCTCTCTGGTTTCTTTATTTTTTATAAAAAGGATGGAAATTGGCAGAAAAAGAAAGACAGCATTGTTTGAATAGACTTGGTCAGTTGAAGTTGTATTGTAGTTGGGAATGTTGTCGTTCTGTAGTAGTAGTAGGCAGTTTCATAGTACCATATGCTGTGATCCTGTCACATTTAATTAACTAAGAGTTTGGCAGATATCTACAGGCAGTCCCCGAGTTACGTACAAGATAGGGACTGTAGGTTTGTTGTGTTGAATTTGTATGTAAGTCGGAACTGGCGTCCAGATTCAGCCACTGCTGAAACTGACCAGCGGCTGACTACAGGAAGCCTGAGGCAGAGTTTCTCTGCCCTGGGCTTCCTGGAATCAGCTGCTGATCAGTTTAAACAGCGGCTGAATTTGGACACCTGGGACAGAGCAGCAGGGGCCCTGCTGGGTAGGTCCCCGCATCGCCGCACCTCAGCGCTGCGGGGACCAACCCGGCAGCACCCCAGCTGCTCTACCTCAGGCGTCCCCAAGTCAGC